GTGATGGAGCGTGCAGTTCTGCACCTCGGTGCGCTGCTCTTGGTGACGTATCTCGGGGTTGCGCGAGTCGACTGCTTTCCCTTGGCCGACTCCTAGGGTGTGTACCTCGATAAGCGCCCGCTGGCGTGGCGGTGTTTGCCCGCCCTGTCGGTTCTGCGGAAAGTTCGGACGCTGGTTGTGCGCGGTAGAGTTGCGAGGGTGTGACGCAAATTTCGGGACTAGGAATAGTTGGTTCTAACTCCCAGAGTTCAACCTTAGCCATTTGCGTAGTTTGTCGTGACACATATGGGGTGTAGCCGCGGAGTGGGAATGGGGGCCGGGACGCGGGACGGACAGTGGGATGAGGACGGAGATTGTGGAGTGAGTTTTGAGAATGGAGCTGGAAAGCAAAGGTGAGCAGGTGAAGCGCAGGTGGAGAGGGGAGGCGGGAGAAAAGAGGTGTGCGTGAGAGGAGGCAACGTAGAAGCACAGTGAGAGTTTCGGAAACAGGACCTTTCCTCAAAGTCCTTGCTGCTGCTCCCTGCTCCTCCTCGTGCCTAATCCCCATCCCTTTCCAGCGAATACCTCAGTTATGGCGTCAGCAACCAGCGGCGTCACGTGGAGGTTGTGGTGAGCCAAGGTGGAACCGTCCAACCCCTTACCTCCCACTCCCCATCCCCGCATCCTCCCTTCCACGTCCCACCCTTCTCCCCGTGCTTTCACTCCACTCCTCTCTTCATGTTTCCGCCTTTCTCTCCTTCCGCCAGCGCAAGTCCTGCTGGACTGTCAGAAGGCGTGGAACAGAACATTTGACGGCTGGGTGGTTGGTGGGGACTGCAGCAAGGCAAGGAACGTCACGTGCGATTCCCAAGGCATGATAACAGCCATGTAAGTGGACCCTCGAGCATGCATGGCTGGTAATTCTGTACAGCGCAAATCATCATGGCCTCGTTCGATCCATCCCCAACCTCCTTTCCCCCGTTCTTCTCCCTCCCTTGCTCACCCACCTTCTTCCCCCGTTCCATCCCTCAGTGCCTCCCTTTATCCCTGACTCTGTCTCTCCTCCCACCCCTCCTTCCTTTCTCACCTTACACATCACCCCTTCCATCCAACCGTCGATCTCCTCATCAGTGTTTCCCAGCTTTCCCCTTTATAATAGACAGGACCTCACTACCTACTTCCCTGCCGTGCTTCCATGAGGCAATGTCACTCACACCCTCTTCCATATGCATGCTTACGTAGAGCCCACATCTGAGGAGTGTGTATCTCAACCAATGTTCCCCCCATGTAGGCAGTTAAACGGACTAAAACTACAGGGACCATTTCCTTCAACCATTGGCAACTTGTCCAGCCTGACACATTTGTGAGCACACCGTACCTTTCAAACAGCTCTTTGCTGCTCCTTGATTTGCCGCGTTCAAGCATTGTACGGGAAACAAAAGCTGCAGATGTTTTACCACCGCAGAGCTGCAGAGCGTGTTCTTTGTGTGGAGAAACGCTCTGACCTCGGCTAGACACCAGTGTTTTGTAATCCAAGAAGGGGCCTTCAGTGTTGTCCCTAACAACATTCCAGGAACCGTAACAATAACATCCAAACACGTTCAACTGCCCAAACCTTGTTCTCGCCTTTTGTACAGAGCAAAGAGCGAGCAGATGATTCTTGCCTTGTAGAAGAGCCTTGTCAGAGTAACAAGTTGAGGCGAATAATACTCGCCTGAGTCTGTTAAGTATTGTTGTACTTGTTGCAAGGCAAGCTTGACTCGCCCTTGCAAGTTTGCGTCGCCCCAAACACCCATGGAAGGGTTACGTAGGTGTGTGTATCACCCAGAGAAGAATAAAATAGCCTCAGATGGTGGCGTACCTAGGCTTTGAGGTGAGGGGAGTTCGGCTGGCGATCCAAGAGGTGAAGGCGAAGGTGCTGGACAAACTTAGGGCCCCAGGAGACAAGGCAGGAACACGGGCACTCCTCGCCTTCCTGAACTATTACAGGAAGTTTGTGCCCAAGTGCAGCCTCCAAGCACGTACGCTCAATCAGCTGATGAGGGAGGGTAAGCTTTGGTAGTGGGGGAAAGAAGAGGAGGCGGAACAACAAGACCTGCTGGAAGCGGTAAGAATCAGGGACATTGCTGATTCGCCACCCAGAACGTAGAGCGCGTCAGGAATGAGGACCCGCTTCCCGGCCTCCCCTTGCAGAGCGACTGTACCGCGGCCTCGACGGTCTGCAGAGCCCCGTTGAAGCCAGGCACATGCGTCTCATCGCCGCTCAGCGCCATGTCGACGAAGACCTCCTTCGTCCCCATAAGGTGGTGCGAGCACCCGCTGTCGAGCAGCACCGCCATTGGATCAGCTTGCATGGCGGTCGCGACTGCCTTGACGTCCTCCCGGGCTTCTGGCGCAAGCGAGACTGTCAGCTCCACCACGCCGACCATCGAGCACGACGCCTCCTCGTCGCCTCGACCCTTGCCGCTGGAGTTGGCGACGTCCTTCGTCGACGACGCCTTCTTCGACGTCTGATTCTCCTTGCGCGGCTTCTCGTCTCGATGGGGGCGACGACTGGTTGACCGTCCACTGCCTCCCTTGTTGTCGTCCTCGTCGCTGTCATCGCGGTCGGGGCACTCAAAAGAGAGATGCTCGGGGTCGCCGCAGATCCAGCACTCCCGCCGTCAACCACCACCTCCACGGCCCTTGTCCCGCGCCGACTTCTTCTCGTTGACATCCTTCGTTGACCTCCCACCTCCGCTACCACCTCGGCCTGGTTTGCCGCGTTGCCCTAGCTGACGAGTCTGCTTCATCGGGGCGGCGTAGCTTGCTTGCGGAAGGAGCTCAGTGGGACGTTCGGCTCCTTGCATCGCCTCATCTTGGATAATGTAGCTGGTGAGGGAGTCCTCGTCGAGTGACTCACGCGTGCCGGGCACCACCATCAGCCTCTTCATGAGGTTGAAGCTGCTTGGCAGTCCCTTGAAGACGTAGGTGATGTACGATGCCATTGCGTATTCGACGCCCGCCATCCGCATAACGGCCAGGAGTCGTCGAGCACGATTGCAGTAGTCCATCGCCGACTCCTGCTCGCCCATCCGGAGGTGTGTCAGCTGATCCTCCAGCAGGCCGATGTACAGGTCGAGATGATGAACCGCCACGCCTGGTGGCCTTGCGTCCTGTCAAAGTCGACACGGCTTCAGCGCAATCAACACCATCGGCGAGCAGCACCTCGTGATGACCATGAAGGTAAGCAGATGAGCGGCTCGAGCAAATTCCTTGCGTAGCTTGACCTCGTCCACGTGCGGTATCGGCGCGATGCCATCGGCAAAACCCTTCAGCCCGGCGATCTCCAGCTGAGGCTCGATAGCCTCCTTCCACGTAATGAGGTCCCGTCGACCTTGCAGCGGCGTGGTCACGGCCATCTTGTCTGGCAAAAACTTGAAGTAGCCGTACGGCGGCGCGATCCCGCCTGCCGTCACATGCGTCGTCGACGGAGTCCTCCAACTACTCTGTTGGGGAGAGCGACGCCTTCCGACGACGTCGACACGCGAGCTGCATGCAGCCGTCGTCGACCGCTGCACTCGCGCTTGACTCCTGTCGACGCCACCATCGACCTTGATGACACCTCTTTTCTTCATGCCCTCGCTGCCGCCGACTTGAACACCGCCGTCGACCTCCTCGTCGACGCCCTCTTCGTTGTGTGCCGTTCGAGGAGATACAGGTCGGGAAGGGTGTTCCATCGCCCACTGCGCCCGCATGCCCAAGTCGACGATCTCCAAAGAGAGGGTCGGCCCAACCTCGCCAGCCTCGTTGCGTCTTCTCGCATCATCCAACCGTGCCTCCAACGTATCCGCTACCGTGCCGGCAGCACGGGACAGGCGTCATAGTCTACACGGGATGTTGGTCTACAACGACTTAGTAGGTGCAACAGTCGGCTCCTATCTGAAGGTCGCGTGTTCGTTTCACGCTCACCGCACCATGCGGAGAATCACTCTACAACGATCAGGAGCTAGACTATGGGGGAAGTCACGACTCCTTGGAGTGATTGTAGCTTTGCCTACGCTGCTTAGCCCTTGCACATTCACAGGAGAATTTGACAAAAGTTTCCACTAGCAAAGTTGGGAATACAGAAAGAATTGATACAACAATGGCAAGAATGACTACATTAGGAACCTAGCAACTCTGCACCCAGGCTGGTCGAGCGCCATCGGCAGGGAGCTCATTTCCCCCCGCTGCCTCTTCAGTATTACCCACACCTGCAACATCCACCTTCCAGCCTAGCGGCCTATCAGGAGCAGCCATCGCTGGCATTGCCGTGGCTGTGGTTTCTGTTATGCTGCTGCTGGTTGGTGTGCTGATATGGTGGAGGGCCTACAAGAGAGATGCAGCAGAAGGAGCAACTACAGCAGTTAAAGAGAGCAAGGATGTACTACCATGGGCTGTTGATGGTAATGATCAACTCTCCCTAAGCCCTCCCTCTCTTCTCCACCGTATTTGGTTCCCTTTCAATGGCCTGTATGTGGAATGAGATACTAGGTAGCAAGAGGGTATAAACAAAACTGTGGATTTGTTAGTCTTCTGTAAATTTTAAGTACAACAACCATTGTTATTGTAGAGGACACAGGGAGGACGGGGGTGGGGGTGGTGATAGAGGATGGAGTGGTGCATGATGGAGGAGGAGGGAGGAAACTGGTCCAAGTCACACGTAAGATAGGGCTTGCAGTAGGTGCTGTTAGGCTTGAGCAGAAGGGCGAACCGAACAGATGTATTTGATTTGTGGCCCTCTATGTTCGATTCGGACATGTTCATGTTCGCCCAAAGATGTTCGTGTTTGGTGTGTCGTGGGTGGCTGAGCTGCGTAAAAAACGAACATGTTCGTGTGAATCTACGTTACATCAATGTTTTGTGAAATCCAACAATGTTTCGTGTTCGGTGCAAGTTCAGTAGCCTACTCATAAGCATTTTAGCACTTGGGTGTCTCGTAATGCCATACTTAATATCTTTTCTCTCATCGTTTGCACTTCTGCAATGACATTACAACAATGCCAAGTGCGCTTCATGTTTACATCATGTGCTTTTTTTTTCTCATCGCACGAGCAGGTCTGGCGGGCAGTGTGGCGGCGTCGCACTGCACGGAGTACTCCCTGGAGGAAGTGCTCACAGCCACCAGCAACTGGGCGAGTGAAAACCAGCTGAGGTTGGGCTCCTTTGGTGACGTGTACTTCTTTGGTAACGTGCACGGAGTACTCCCTGGAGGACGTGTCTCCGCGCGATGGCACCACGCTGTGGGCCGTCAAGCGAGCCAAGCTCCTGCAAGCTGACTTTCAGCGGGAGGTAAGATCCATCATAGACCCAGCGAGCTGTTTAGAAGGTTTGTGTCTCAAGCTGTCAATATTTGTTCTTTTCGCAGGTGCGACAAATGGCCGACAAGAACCATCCCCATATCGTGCGGCTGCTGGGGTTTGCTGTTGGAGGGGACATGCGGACTCGGCCAGAGCAAATCCTGATCTACGAGTTTCTTCCGAATGGTGACCTTGAAAAGTGGATCAGTACATGTATTGAATACTTTACTCGCAATCTTCTCTTTTTTCTTCCTTTGTGACAGATTGAAGCTAACACTGTTTCCCTCATCCTGCAGAAGCGCCCTCTTGCCTCACCTTGAAGCAGCAGCTGGACATCCTTATTGGTGCAGCACGTGGTTTGGAGTACCTTCACAGCTTTGGCCTCGTGCATCGCGACATCAAACCCGCCAACATACTCCTTGGGGCAAAGATGCAGGCAAGTTTGTCTTGGACGCGCGAAGTGATTCAATTGAACTGGGTTGAATGACACACAGAGCTGAGTGACTAATTATTAAGGAGAACTACTTTCCTTGTTATTGTCAAGCATTGTAGCGCAAGAATGCCACGAGGTACATGCTGGTTTTGGTTTTGGATGTGTTGTAAAAAACCCGTAATACCATAAGTCTAAATTTGACAGTGTAGTATGGGTTTTATGTGGACAGGAGTTGAGGAGACGATATGTCTTTTTGAGGGAGCAAACTATTCTAAGTTTGTTTCACCTAAATAGTAACACTTTTTCAGGTTTCTCCGTGATTATGCTTGCGCTGGTTATTGCGTTTATCATACCATCCATCAGGCCAAGATTGCGGACTTTGGACTTGTGAGGGAGGAGGAGGGCAGCACAGTGGGCACAACTCGAGTGATGGGAACACCGGGCTATGTGGATCCCATCTACTTCCACACATCAAAGGCAACTAGCGCCACCGACGTCTATAGGTGAGCAGGTTATGATGTCTACTGGTAACGTAAACTTATGCAGTAGGTGAGCAATTATTGTCAACATTAGGTTTTCCCCAGTAGAAAACATTTCAGCCCAACACTAGGTTTCCTCAAGCTGACTGTGCTGCTTTTGCCCTTTTACTTGCAGCTTCGGTGTGCTCATGCTTGTGGTCCTCACAAAACGGAGCCGCCCACTCCATGTGGGTGCTAGAGAGTGTGATCACATCCTTTCATGGGTAAGAGATATCGTTTTGTGGCATGCAACCGTAGCGGCAAATCTGTTGGCATGCAGGTGCTGCTTGCACTGTGTCTATATACATCAATCTTTATGCATTTTTTTTCTACCCTGTCTGTCTTAATGCAATATATGCCGTGTGATTGTTGTGCCTTCTTTTCCGTATTATTCTTGTATATTCTTACTCTCCTTGCCAATCTTGCTACTGCCTTTTGGCCCGTTACTTTCCCTCAACCAAAGCCATGCTAGGTCAACCTTCAAGTGTCCCTTTCATGATGTCAAACCATACTTCTTCTCTGTTTCCTTCCCCACCTTTCCCACTCCCTCAGGTGGAGGCGTGCATCTCCTCCGACACCCAAACCAGCCTCAAGGACCTGAGCATGGACGCCCCTGATCATGCTGTGCTGTGTCTCGCCAAGCTGGCTCTCAGCTGCACTGTGGAGCGCGGTGCATATCGCCCAAGCATGGCTGGCATTGCCAACGAGCTGCTTGCTATCAGGAATGAGGTGATGGGAACAGAGGAGCTGAGTGCAGCTATTAAGGTGGACATGCAAGCCCTGAATTTAAAGTCCGTGATTTTTCGTGGGAAAGGCATGTACGCTTGGCCTCCTGCTCGGAAGTTTCTATCAAATGCGACCAGCTACTGGAGTAAGGTTTTAGGTGGTGGTAACTGGCAGAAGTACTGACTACGGACCTAATTTTTATAACTTGAGGATGACCAATGCAAGGGACAATCTGGTGTTGCTCAAGGATGGATACTTCGATAACAAAAAGTTTATGTTGTTGCATTTCATGATGAAAATGAGTAAGGGGTATATTCTCGATATGCGAAAGGGGCGCTTGGAAATTCAGGTACCTAAAGAAATCAAGATACATCTATTTATTATGCCTTATGTGTTCATGTTACATGGTACGTATATAAGAAGCTACTTTCTTGAGTTCTCGATACTATAGCACATTAAGCTTTTAAATGAGAGACATGAGTGTGGGTAGGTATATGGTAGTTGTTTCGAACTACCTTACAGAATTTACTACACACAACTATAAGGTTTTTTTAGTTACATCATTGCCCGGATAGAAGAAATGTTTTATACCCCTCGGAAGCTTTACAGGGCAAAACTGCAAGAGTTTTACTAGCAAAAGTCGAGAACAATGATTCAGAATGATAGCAACAACATTGGCATGCAAGACTACATAAGACCAAGCAAAGCTGCTGGTCGACTTCCATCGCAGCACGATCGACCGCGTGCCAGCACAACTTGGTCGACCGTGCTCCAGCAGAGCAAAGTCGCGGCTTGCCCACGTTGCAAGTCCACGGTGTGCCAACGCCGCAGTAAGTCGGCTGCATAGCGTTGCACCCGCAGGACAACGAAGCACCTGCCTCGCAGGTGCGTGCAGCTGGTTGGTGCGCCACTCCTCGTCACGAGCACAGCGCAGACGCCTGGCAGACTCCACGCCAGCGACTGTGCCCACCAACCACATCGACCTCGGAATACCACTTCCAAGGTCGGCCTCGCAGTAGTCACCCCGGCGACCTTCGCACACGTCGCCCGGGTATCCCGGTCGACCAGGAAACCATGCCTGGTCGACCAGCACCTCCTTCACGTGCCCGTCGACCACCCAGTTTGACGACCACCTCTAGTTGACCTCACTAGGTCGACCTCTCCCCTGGTCGGCCAGCTCCAAGTTGATGACACTTCTGGTCGACCAGCTCCAGGTCGACCAGCACACCTGTTAGCCGACCACACCCGGTCGGCTTCCCCTAGTCGGCGTCACCGATGTCGACGCCTCCGATGTCAACCTTGCCAGGTCGACCACTCGAAGTCGGCGCCCTTGCAGTGGCCCCCGTGCAGGTCAACCAGACCCGTCGACCAGCTCGCCCATTGCTGCAGGTCGGCTGCACTCCCCCATACACCCGACTACGAGGTCGGCTCTGCCCAAGCTAGGACGGGGCCTTCCACAACTCCCATTGACAGATGAACGTTCCAAAGTTTACACGTTCAGCAAACATTGTTCGGGAAGCCACGTCATGAAGAATGCTTGTTGAGTAAGCCCCCCCATAAGTTAGAGAAAATTCTCTGATTTATGTTGAAAAACTCATATATTTCAGCCTTTTCTATTGGATTTTGAAACTTCAGCATATTTTAAGCCTTCTTTGATATTTCAGATTTTGTTACTTTGAGAGTGTTCTCTGATCCATCTTACTTCAAACGCGAACCAACTCTGATTTTTACTATGCGAGATCTGCGCTGACAGCTGTGATGAGTGCTGGAATTTGAGATTTGTACCGCCAATTACGCTATTAGAGTGACAACGTTCAAGTTTTGGACCGCGACGCCGTGTTGCGGTGCGGTTATCCCCTCGTTGGCACCAACGCATACTCAATCCAGTTGCTGATTGGTCGTTTAGGGAGCCCTTGACAGCATCCTAGGGCTCGACCAGTACCCACGTTGCAGGCTACCGCAGCTACACAACACATCAAACAGCAGAGCAAAGATAGCAGTGACTCATGGTTGCCGTGCATACTAGGCAACCATCCATCAGTAGGACCTTCTTGATTGTCAAAGGTCCATCGTTGTTCTGCCTTAACCCCATCCACCCCCGTGCTGCACCTCACTGTCACCATTGCTCTAGCTACCCACTACTAGGCTGATACTAGAACGGGCCCTGATTTTTTGCTTAGCTCGCTTGCACGTGAGAAAACGCCACGGTCCAGCCTTGTTACCAACTCGACCCTTGAGAAGCCTGCTCCTCCAGTGTTTAGAGTGTATGGAGGTTAGCAACCTCCAAAAGAAACGAAATTTGAAGGAGCAGTATTGAGATCGTGGTGGTTTAGAGTGATGTTATGCTCGTGGATCTGCGTCGTACCTTCTTTGCCTACGCAATCCAAAAGAAAGTAAATGAAATCTATACCTTGGTTCAGCAAGTGGTATGCTTGTTTTTGTTGATTGTGTATGTGGTTGTGGTATTTTGCTCTAGCTGGTTGTGGGCTAAGGGTTTGGGCAAAATGTGGTGGTTAGACTTGTTGCGGGCTGGAATTGATCTTGCACAGAATGCATGCTTGCATGGCCGCACCAAGCACATGCAGGTTCGGTGGCATTTCATCAGGGAGATGGTGGCGTGCGGCGAGGTGATCCTCCGGTGGTGCCCCACCAACCGTCAAGCAGCAGATATACTCACCAAACCCCTCCCTTATGAGCGGCATGGGGTGTGCATGTCCTTGATGGGGATGCAGCCCCATGTCAGCATTGTACCTGAGCAGGATGTGGGAGGACTGGTGCTTCTCTACCTTGACGACCTCATGCTGTGGATGGCGCCCCTCCCTGGGCAAGGGGGAGTGAAGTGAAGGATTTTGCCCAGTGGTGTTCAGCCACCTCCAGCACGAGCAAGGGGGAGTGTTGATTGTGTAGGTGGTTGTGGTATTTTGCTCTAGCTGGTTGTGGGCTAAGGGTTTGGGCAAAATGTGGTGGTTAGACTTGTTGCGGGCTGGAATTGATCTCGCACCCAACAAGCACCAACAAACCTTTGCTATTCACTACAACACCTTTGGTGTTGCTAGTTTAGCACTTTGGGTTGTTGGGGATTGTTGTAGGGCGAGGGTTGGGTTGGTAAGGTTTGAACAACTCGTCACTTTTCATATCTGAACTCTTGCCAAAGCTACTTTCTTGATTTAATCCATGGCTGCCTATTGATTCCGCCAGAATACCCCGTCGCACTTAAATCGCGATAGCGATCGGCCTAGATCTTGGTTGAAGGTGTGCGTTACCATTCTGGAAATAAGAGATTAAAAACATTCCAACGCGTACCTGCTCATAGTTTAAGGTTACGTGAGCTGCACGCAATGTTCCATCGAAGTCGGCGGACTTAATCTCTTGTTACGCTCTCCAGATTCGTGCGTTTTCCATCAGTTTTTCCTCTGCCTCACTTGTCGTTTGTTTATAGTTCAGCATAGGGTTGAGCAAGGGGTTCAGCCCGGGGTCGAACACTCATGTTTGGAGAACTGAACATGTTCGTGTTCGGCCGAACACCTACAACGAAAAAGGGTGTTCGATGTTCGCCTTTGAAGGAGAACACAGAGGTGTTTGGTCCGAACATGAACATGTTTGGGGCGAACATGTTCGTGTTGGTTTTCTAGGCTCATTTCATTTCAGTCCCACACCATTTCCGTGTTAACATTGAAAATACATGAGTTAACATTGACATTGGTTTCCAATAAAACTCAATCGTGGCACCCGTCCCCCCCCCCCCCCCCCCCCCCACCCTCTTGTCATCAAATATGATAGCGAAATGCCAGATCTAACGGCGAAATGCCAAATCCGCGTAAATCTGTTGGCGGAATGCCATATCTGCGCATATCTAATGGCGAATTGCCACAGCCGCGCAAATCTGACGGCAAAATGCCATATCGGCGCATATCTTACGACGAAATGCCATAATCGTGCATATGTGATGGCAAAATGCCATATCGATGCATATCTGGCGGTGAAATGCCATATCCGCTCAAATCTGACGGCAACAGTTCTTAGTATTGAATCACCTTTCTAACACTGCTAACACTCTTTTCGGAGTCACTTCCAAGGGTCCCTGGGTGCCGAACAAGCGTTGGCCCCTATCCAAGGGTCCGAGTGTGTAGAGGAGAAACTTGAAGCTGTAGCTTGGTTGTCGCAGCAGGCATTCCTTCTAGGCGTTGTCAAATCCTCTAAACGCTAACGGCGTTGCTGCAGCAGGCAAGGGAGGAAGAAAACCACTCAAGCTATATATGAAACAAGCAGGTACAGACACATTTACGCTAAACGTATTTCATACTTCCTCCCCCTATTCTGCTCTATGCTTTTCTACTTCAACTCTCGTAGCGCGAACAGATTTGCATTTCCTTCCATTTCCATTGTGTAACTCGGTGGGCTCCCGATTCGCCAACGAAGCAATTTGAAGTTTTCGCGCGAACTCACTTCCTTGGTTACAATGCGAGATGGATTTCGCGCCCTTTTGAAACCGTTTGAGATTCGCCTGCTAGCATGTACGCGGGTAAGTTGGTCTAGTTGTGTGAAACGAACTTCAGAACTCTGAGCGATTCGAACTTGAACACTGATGTCAAAACAGCACTCGCCACGTGTGCTTGCTTTTGAGGTGTGAACACTCCTGCATTCAAGCTGTCAGTGCTTTTCAGAACGTGAGCAACTGAACCTACGATTCGATTACTTTTGCTGATCTAGCCACCAGCGCAACTCACAATTTGCGAGGCTGTAACACTCGCATTGCTCCCCACGAAGCACAAACAGCTGCTCGCGCATTGACAAAATGAACAGGCTGCACGAGAAGGTGCTCACTCGAACTCGTGAGCAACTGCCACTTCGAACAATAGCCAATAAGAACCACCGAAACAGGTGGTGGCACGAGCAGCTGGTTGCTCGTTAATGAACCGAACTCGCCGCGCGAACATCGACCAATCCCATTCCTCCAAACCTAGTGGTACGAACAGCTGCAAACCCACTTCTCAACTCGAACTTGCATCTTGAGCAAGAACTGCTCACTCCGATTGGTCCAGAAAACACTTAGCTCGAACTTGCACCTTGAGCAGCACCACCAAAACTCGAACTGACATTTTGAGCAGCGAATTGACACATTCAGTTCGCCTCCCCCCCTCTGAACACCACGCTATTATCTGTGCCTCGCTCCCAGCTTTTAG